TCTCTCTCTCTCTCTCTCTCTCTCTCTCTCTCTCTCTCTCTCTCTCCACGAGCAGGTTTTTGAATCTGCAGAATGCGTATATAAAATGTCAATACAATTTTTCATTTCAGCAAACTATATAGTTAACTATGACGACTTGGATTATCTTGGCTTGGCTGACGAGTTTATCGTCGGCCGTTCCCTCGAATCGAGTACCAATCCGAGAGATCCTACCTCCTTCGCCGCCGTCGGAGCATCAACAACAACGCGAGTTTCTTCCCTTCTTCCGGAGAGACGCCGTCGAAAGTTCACCGACCTTCGGCCGTTTATCAAATGATTTAGATTACAATGAGTTCGGCTCGCACAGGTATCCCCTGCGCGACGCAGTCGAATCGTTGCCGGATAACGTACTAGACGCTAAATCGAATTCTATATTCCGAGACGACTTTGAGAGGTGACTATCCAGAATATGTTTTATCTTAATCGGTTGAAACCTCGACTGACACTCGTTTTCTAAAAAAATCGCTATTACATGGCAAATCTTAACCCTTATATACGTAAGCTAACAATCTGTGGGATTGCGATATTCTTCTCCTTTTTTTATATCAATATTTCTTCCGCAATATCTTCGATTGAAGATAAGACGACATTATTTCCCATTTCCAAATAATTTTAAATAAATTTTACAATTATTTTTAAATATTTACTTATTTATATTTGTTTAAATCATTTTCTTAATCTATTTTTGTTTTTATAGATTGTTATTAAAAAAACACTATGTACATCTAAGGATTTTAAAACTTAAAACTATTAAAGATTATAAAATCCCATAATTCTCTTTACAATTTTGCTTTATTTTTATTTAATGCAGATATATTACTTAATTGTTTTTTTTTTTTTTTATTAATACGTGTCTTGATTCGACGTGTAATAAACTTAATAATAATATATGCTATAATATTATGTTTAACATATATAATGATACAAGTATAACAGAATTGCTCATATTTATAGTGAGAACCGAAGATTGCCTTTGAGAGACGCAGTGGAGCATCGCGAAGCACCTTTTTTCGGTGTTGATCCGGATCACGAATCGATTTGGATCGAGCCCGTGGCACCACCGATCTTGCGAAGGACGCAGCAAATTCTCGAACCTAAAATTGTCTGCCGCTTTAACTCTGAAGCCGTTCATAGAACGGAACCGTTCTCCTTGTACCCGCAAAATGTGCCAGATTACAAGTGCACTCATCTAGTATACTCCGCAGCTACCATCGGTAAATAATAATTGTATTAGATATAGATCATAGATGTATAACCATATGTTATTTCGCGAGTACTTTTATTATCTTAATTATTAATTTTATTATTTCATTATAGACAGGCAAGATTCCATCGTTCCCAACGATCCAGTATACGATCGAATTAAAGGTAGATTATCATCAAAAAATAAGAAGATAAAAATATATTTAAAAATATTTAATAAATATTTTGGAAATATTGGATTATATAACAATTAATATTAACTGCGATTTTTCTACTAGGCGGTTACAATGCTGCCACAGAGCTTCGCTCGAAAGATCCAGCACTCCGCGTGCTGATATCCATTCAACCGAATCCACATCGCAGCCTAATTATCCAAAGAAATGCCAATTTATCGACTAATTTTCCATTGCGGGAATCTATTCTCAAATTCCTCGAAGAATATCGTTTCGACGGTATCGAGCTAAATTGGCCAACCGCCGCCCAAGACTGGTCTCAATTCAAAATTCTGCTCAAATTGATCGGTGCTCCATTAGCCAAAAGGGGATATACCTTCGCGGTGGCACTGACACCGGAAGATCCCGTGGATCTGGAACTTTTACCGATCGTCGATTTGATAATCCTGAAAAGTTGGCAGGACGTTCAGCCGGCTTGTGCTTCTTGCGGGAGAACGGATTACCCCGTCCTTCATCCAGGTCCCTTGAGCTTCATCGTGCAAAATACAAGCAAATGGGTTGAGCAGGTCAACGCCGGGCAACGATCGAAGTTCGTTCTCGCTATCCCAATCTTTGGTCAAGGATACACTCTCAAATTTAGTAATCTCACCGATGTCGGCGCGCTCGTTTTGAAATCCAAAGAGGGCGCATACACTAAATTGAGAGACGGAAAAATAGCTTATTACGAGGTGAAGTATCGCGTCAATACTAAAAAAAAGGCTTGGTTGCATTAATTGGAATTCTGGTTAAAAATAAATAGATCAAAATTTTCTTGTTAAACCTATTATAATTTTAATTGAGAGAGAGAGAGAGAGGGGGGTTGGAGAATTAAAATTCTTATTGTTATATGATCAAAATCTTCAGCTGGTTCTGATTGATTTTTAATCAGATATTTTTCTCGATGTAAAATCTAAAAGTATTTATATTAATCAATTAAGAGCCGATTATTCTCTATAGGTGTGTGAAAAATTGGAAAGAGGTTTGTGGATGTCTGGCAGGAACGAGGAAGGACCATACGTAAAACGAGGAGATCAATGGATTGGTTACGACGATCCTATATCAGTTAAAATTAAAACGGCGTTTATTCGAGCAATGGGACTTGGTGGAATCTCATTATGGTCGCTAGATCTAGATGATTTTCAGGTTATTAACAATATTAACTTATTTTTGGTTTCATTGAAATTTTTATTTTCAGCGCCATATAAGGATATAAGTACATCAAGATTAACAGATTTATTAAAAAATTATTTTAATTTAAGCATTGTCATT